TTGCTCCAGGAGCACCCGGCACTCTCCTCTGGAATTGGGGTGGGGGGGATGCACTGTCCAGAGATGGACGCCTAAGAACTTGGTGCTGGGGGGAAATGTTTCGAGAAGGCTGAAATCTGCTCAAAGGCTGAGGGAGGGGAGCCGGGGGTGGGGAATAAAATGGAGAAAGTGGAAGAGAGGAGGGGAGAGGCAGAAGAGAGCTGAGAATCAGGGGAAAGAGGGGAAAGAATTGGCACTCTGCAAATCTGGCTATTCTGGTGATCTATTTCTGTGTAACCAGCTGCCCCAAAATGGAGTGGCCCAAAGCGATTACTTATTATCTCTCATGCTTTTGTGCGTTGATGGGGCACAGCTGGGCAGTTCTCCTGTCCCCTCTCAGGTGGTCACAGCCAGGTAAGAGCTATAGCTGCAGTCGCCTGATGGCTCGACTGGGCTGGATGGGCAACACGGCTCCTGGACTCGTGTTGGGGCCTTGGTGCTCCCAGCCCGTCTCCTCCGTGTGGAGTCTCATCCCCCAGGGCCTGTTCATACAGGTTGGGCTGAAAGAGGCAGGAGGCAGAACTGCCAGTCCACTGAAGGCCTCCACCTAGTACTGACAGATGGTCACTTCCACCACATTCTATTGGTTGAAGTGGACACAGGCCCAGATTCAAAGAATGGAAACACAAGTTCCATTTCTTGATGGGGGAATGCCAGACACAATGCAGTTATGCAGGAGATGGGAGGTATTGTGTGAAGCTCGGCAAGGAAGAAGCTCTGGGAGGAAATCAAGAGGCCTCCCATGAGCTCTTGACATGACGGGACATTATTTTGATCACAGGGACTGAACCTCTAGTGACATTCCTTAAGGGCAGCGATGGTTTCTCACCATCTTTGGACCTTCCACAGCTTTCACCTGGAGCCTGGCACATAGTAGGTGCTCCATAAGTATTTGTTAAGTGGACCTGTGAGGCGCCCAGTAGAAAGGCGGCCCTTCTGGGGCTGACACAAATACCTACCCACCCCCACATCAAGAGGCATCTATTTGACTGCCCGGTCGTGACCTTCACTGTGTCCAGCATCTAGAACACCACCTAGTATGCAGTAGGGCTTCTGTAAAGTTTTGTTGAGTGAATAAATGACTGCAGGGATTCGATAGATGATGAATACGTCTCTTATAAGTGGCACCTGGGTCTCTTCTCTAAGCTCCTAGAGGGTGGTCATGCTGCCCAAACTCCCTTGGACCCTGAGAGGACAGAGAGAGAATATCTTTGCCCCATGCCACCAAACACACCCACCATGATGAGGATAAACGACTCAGCAGTCACTTGACAGAGGATCTCACTGAAGCTCATGCAATCCTCTGAGCTGTCACGAGGAAACAGTGGCTCAGAGACATGAAGTCACCTGCCAAAGTCACATAAGCTTGTCAGTGTTCGGGTGGGACTCAGACCCTGGGTGGTTAGAGGAGGCATCAGCCCCCTTGGTTCCCAAACTGCAGTATTTCCATCAGGCCCAGGTTCATGTGTCTGTTCTGACTCAGGCAAGGGGTTTTCTATCATGCGGGCCACATCCCCTTCCTGGTGGAAGAAGAGGGAAGCAGAGAGAAAAAAAAATCTTGCAGTGGCCCTGCACACACTCCTTAGAAGTGTGTGCAGTGGCCCTACACACACTCCTTAGAAAAGTTTCACCTCTGGTTTAGCATAACAAAACTTTTAATTTAGATGTTTTCATCTATCTCTCCAAGTAAAAATAAGTTTAAAATAATGACTGTAATAAATGAAGGTAATTAATTGTAGTTTGTTCCTTTACTGTCTAGTCAGCTTAATTTTACCTTTTCAACTAATAATGAGAAAATAATTTTTGTGCTCGGAGGGTTAATGATATGTAACTGCGAGAGCTGCTAATTGCATGTTGCAATCCATCCATCAACAACCCCATCTGTGCGACTTGATTATGTTTGCTAAATTATTGCTTTGAATTATCTTTCATAAAGCAACTTTTGTAATTAGCGGGGCTTTCGTTTTGCTCTTTTCTCTGCGCGCAAGGATATTCAAACTTTGGCCATTTCAAGCTGTCTCCATTAAGCCACCTTCTCTGGCTGTCTTTGTTTCCCTGAGCAGGGGGAATCAAGACTGTCCTTTAAGCAATCAAGGCGGAGAGAAAAACCTTCCTTGATTCACAGCAGGGTAAATTCACTTCCTCTCCGCACCCCTCCCACTAGCATGCGTGTGCCCGCGCGCACGCACACACGCACACACACGAAAAAGAAAAAAAAGGCCCACACATACACAGAATGAAAAGATAAAAAGGATACCCAGACTCTTTATATACCAGGGCTGGTGGAGTGAAATTAAGGAATGAACTTGAACATGTTATATTTCAACAAGAGGCCCACACTGGGGAAGAAGGAATGACGGGTACGATATTCAGCCCTGGCGTTTTATGGGCTACTTTATGTGACTTGAGACGGTGTTTGCCTCAGGGAATATTCCTGGGAGGTGATTAATGCCCACTTGGGAATCCTCAGCTCTGAGCCTGGAGCCTGGCGGATCATGAGAGGGAAGTGGCATAAAGGATGAACCCTCATTAAAAAAATTAAAATGAAAATCAAATTTGGATTATAAACGGCCTGTGCGTGAGCAGTTTGTTCTGGACGAAGAAGATGCTTTTTATTAACACCTTTCTTTGGCGGCGTTTCTCCCCAGAGGCGCAGGGAGGGACATGGCGGCCGCGATGGATTAGTCAATAGATCATGAGGAAAGCAGGGGTTTCAGGAATAAAACTCCAGACAAATGTAGTCTTTTTGGTACATTAAAGGGACGATGGAAAGCCCTCTTAAGGAAATTAACGAAGTTCTTCAGAGATCCTCAGCTATTAAAACAGTGTGAATTCAACATGCCGCAAAAATTTGGAAATGAGAATTCAGCTTTGTTTTCCCTTTTGGACCCACTAAAACTTTCTCTCCCTCAGTGAGTTACTGAGTACCAACTGTGGGCCAGACACTGGGTCAACTGCCTCCACCTTTAGTTCTTTGAATCCTTACTGTTAACTTCATTTGCCAGAGGAGGAAAGCTGCAGCTGAGACAGGTTAAGGAACCTCTCCCCAGCCACACAGCTAGGTAAACAGCAGGGCTGAAATTCAGGCCGGGCCTGTCTCAGTCTGATTTGCACATGCTTTCTGCCATGCTGCACTGGGGTATCCTCTGGATCATCACCCAAACGTAATGTTGAACTCTTTCTCCTATTGAAAAGATGATGTAAGTCACACCTGTTTCCTTCAGGGATAGAAAGCCCTCTTCTTTTGGAGAAAAGTTTTGAATATCTACTTAGGAAAGAGGTAGATTCCAGCCCAAGTATAGCAGAGGCCCTGGAGGTGACTAATAACAGGAATAATAAAATAACCAGGACTACCTATATAAAGCAATGTTCTAAGCACTCCATGGGTATTAACCTTGTTCTTCCTCAGTCATGACCCTATGAAGGAGGTATAATTATTACCTGGTTTTAGAGACAAGGAGACAAAGGCACAGAGGGGTTAAGGAACTTGCCTAAGGTCAAACAGTGAGGAACTGGCAGAGGCAGGGTTCAAACCCAGGCTGGCTCTGGAGTCTGCTCTTTATTGCCCGGCAGCTCTCTGTGCACCAGGCATTACATTGCACTGCTTCCCTGCATTACTCCTCAGTCCTTAAAGCAACATAAAAAGATTGAGAGTGTCTTTATTCCCATGAACAGATGGGAAACTGAGGCTCTGAGTGGCTTAGAGAAGCTCTGTCCATACCAGCCCAAGCAAGGGAACAGCTGAAAAAGTGATGCTCAGTGCCTGTCTGTGGGCTGGGCAGAAGGATCAGCTGCCTGAGAGGGCTTGTGTACTGAGAACCCCTCATGGGACCAGGGCCTGGCAGATGGGAACCTCTTTTTTAAAAACACAAAGCCACGACAACAAATTCCCAACATCATTGGTCTTTCTGGTTTGTTCCCCCCACCCCTCGCCCTTCCCCGCCACCGTCCCCTTTCAGCTCAGGCACCTCACAACCAAATGAATCAATACCGGATGGCCCTATAAATAAATAAGCATATCAGTCAACTCAGTAATAAAATGAAGGGATGAAAAATATGGAAATCAGCGACATTTGTGTAAATCCAGTTATTGTTTACTTTAATATTGCCTTATGCGCTTATGCGGTTCCAAAGAGACAGATTTAAAGTAATGTGGTGCTTGGCGGATGACAGACTTAAAACGCGTCTCCACCAGAGAGCTCGGAGAAGGGCCAATCCTTCCGAGGTCCTTCCTGAATCCAGGGGAGACTGAGAAGAGGCCCCCTGAAGACGGAACATTTGACAAATGGCTTCCCCTTCCACTATCCCTGCCTCAGTGTAACTTCTCTTCTCGCCTGCCTCCTTTGCCAGCAGGACAAGGGGACATTCTCAGAATCCCGGTCACAGAGTCAAGCCAAGAGGAGAAATGCGGGAGGTTCAGCCCCATGACAGGGCTCCAGGAAGGCAAGAGAAACAACTGGCTAAAGACAGCTCAGCTGCTGCCGAAGGAAATAGGGTTGTCAGGAGAGAATGTCAACAGTGTTGGTTTTATACTCAGATGGTGGGTCAGTAGAGAGGATTTCAGGGTGGGCCGGTAACTGGACTGAATCTGTAAGACTGCCTTAGAGAATCAAAGCTGAACAGAATGCCAGGGCACAGAAAAGGTCACTGAGTTCAAACCTCTTCATTTTAAAAATAGGAAACGAAGCTTGGAAGGGGAGGTGGTTTGTTCAAGGTCACAGATATTGTATATAGCAGAGCTGATGTAAGGCTGGACAAAGTGAGGGAGAGGGAGAGAGAGAACCCATTCTCATCATGTCACCACTGGCTGATCTGGAAAGAATGGGGTGGAGTTTGTAATAGGGACGGGCAGGTATTCTCCCAAGCTTCCAGAGGCTGCTGGCTTCCTCTGGCAACTCCAGGTGGGATAGAGAGGGAAGCAGGGAATGTTTTTGTGACATGCCATAGGCCTTGGGTCTTACCTCAGCTTGGAAGCTTTTTAATACAGGAGCCACCATCTCTCTGATTTCCTGAAAAAGAGATCAGCGAAGAGTTCACCACAGTGCCAGGTGGGATACCCCCGTGGCCCCTGCTTGCAGTGCACTGTTGTCCCCCGGGCCAGCATTTCCCAAATGTGTCCCATGGGATGTGCACTCCATGGGATTTCATTGGGGTTTCTTATATATACGCCTACACACAGACACATGCACATGTACACACACATAGGGTGCCAAGCCAAATCAGCCTAGGAAATAAAGTCCAACATCAAGTTTCTTCCCTGTGGGACTTTTTGGAGCCTTTAGTATAATGCACATTGGGAATTTCTGGAAGAGGGAGGAAGGAAGCAACGTTTCCCAAATAGATCTGATCATGGAATGTTTTTTAGGCAAAGGGCTCATGGGACTTGTGGCGCATCATGCGACCGACTCTTGCTGAAGAGGTGGGCTCAACTCTCCACACCCAGCACAATGCCATCAGAGTCCCTTCATAAAAACCTTCTGTCCTTTAAGCATTTGCTCAGGGCTGTCTCCTTCAGGTGGCCATCTCTGTCTGCTTCCCCACGCAACTTCCCTTCTCTGGCAAACACCCCATTCTGCATTTTAGCAACATCACTTCTATACTTGTCTCTCCTTCCTCTCCAGAATGTGCAATTTCTGGCACCCCCTTGGTGCCCAGCTCAGAGGAGGGGCTCTGTAAATGTTTGATGAACTCTATGGTAGTGGGCTGTCTTCAGAAACCAGCCTCCTATTTCTGGACCCTAATTTCCTGCCTTTCACAAGTGACCTTGAAGTTCTCAGCCCCAAGGGCTCCCCGGGTTGGCTCCTGTGAGTTCTCCCTAGCACGCAAGAGGGAAGACTTTTAGAACCTAGTGTCACCAAGATTCCAACCCTAAATGCTTCAGTTTTCTCTCAGACCCACTGGTGACTCCATGACTGCTGTCAGTCAGGTCCCACAAGAAACCCCTGCGGAAGGAGGAGCTGAGAGGGGCTCGAGAGTGTGGGGAGAGAGGGGACAGTAGAGAGAAGCAGGAAAGGAAGACGTGGGCACAAGAATACATATGTTCAGGTAAAGAATAAATCCCTTAATTATGAAATAAGGTTGTGCTTCTGTCCCTGAAAATGATCCCTCTTCTGGGTCCTGGGTACACCTCCTCACTGACTGGTGTCCTCCAGGGCTCCTTGGAGCCGGTGATATACTAACGGTATGTTTGGGATCTTCAGGAGGGACATAGGGAGTGCGTGCGAATCTAGTGGATCTGATCACAAGGAACTACGGGTGCACAGGCTGAGCCACGGAAAAGGAAATGCATGAAAACCCAGGTCCTAGGTTGTGAACTCAAATGCTTACAGAGGCTGGGGCGGGGGGAGTGGGCACGAGGGAGGCGGGCCGAGAGGCAAATATCCAGAAAACCTGAGCCCCGTGTAATGGAGGTAGCAGCTGCTCGGCTCCAGCTGGTGACTGCCATGTGGGCACGTAGCCCCTGTCTGACCAGATCCACCAAAGAGTCTCAAAAGATACTGGAAATCTGGGGTTTTGGGTGAAATCTTCTGAGATGCTAGATGTTGGTAACTTACTGTAAAACTTGAATGACTTTACAGACCAAATACAACGTATCAACAGGTTAAACCTCTGGTCCAAGTTCAGGAAACGTTAGTGATGGAAGGGGCCTCAGAAATCACCTCTCCAGTCCCCTGATTTTCCAGAAGGAGAGACCAAGGTCCTGAGAGGGGCTGGCTTGCTCAAGTCCGGCAATGAGTGAGTGGCTCAGCTCGAATTTGAATGCAGGTCAACAGACAACCCAAATAAGCTCGCTGCACAATACCACACTCAAGGGGATTCAAATCTGAGGGCCAAGGACGGGGGGTTGGTGGGACTTTGGACCAATGCTGACCATTTCTAGAAGCCCCCTGTCCTGTATGTTTCACCTCTGGGGGTGAAGTTGAGCATAGGCACCAGCGGGAGGTGAGCTGGGCACCAACCAGATGATGTTCTTAAATAAAGCCTTGGCATGACTCTCCCAATCAGGAGACACTAGTTCCAAAAATGAGAATTTTCAGAGGCGCGACTATAATAGGAATGGAAACTTATTCCTCCTAATTACATAATTGCATAATTATGCAGTATTAAAATTATGTAAGCTGAACTCGGAGGCTTAAAACCTGGCCTGGATTTTCCTCATCACCTGTGGGCTCCCATGTGGCCTGGGAGAGCAGGATGAGATGGAGGGTCTGTGGCTGACCAAAGAGAAGGCATGTAGGGCTGGGAAGGTCTAGGGCTGCTTCATCTCTGCTTCCTACAGAATGGAGAGTCAGAGGCAAAGCTTCTGGCACCCTCTTTCTCGGCAGAAAATCAGTTTAAGTATCAAGCTGTTCTCTGTTCTAAGAAGGAAGCAAAGGACGCTCAGCATCACCTATGCCTTCTTAGCTCCGGGGTCAAGCCCAGGACTTGACTTGGCCTTTTTGAAGCTGTGACCTGGGAGACACTTGGATCTGAGATTTTCACTCCTTCTCCAAGCGTACCCTCCCTCAGCTCTCAAACCTAAGATTCCTTCCATACTTGCTCCATAGGCAAGTTCTAGCTACAGTCCACTTCCCTCTCTTGCCTTGAAGAACCGAAGATACTTATCACTTGTGAGGAGGATTTCACAGCTAGAAGACTCAACCCCTCTTTACTCATGTAGCCCCATTCCTGGGTAGGCCTGACTCTTCTCTGTCTTTCCATGGCCTCCTCCTCCATCAGCAAGATGGTAACCGGACCCCTGGATGATTCTAACAGGCAGAGTGGGATCAACATCTCCAGGTCTGATACTTCCAGAATGCCAGATGCTGCCCCACCCTCCTCCAAGATCCAGGCCACCTGAGTAGGTTAGGACAGAGAGGTCTACTGTTAACCTCTGCTGACCACAGAGAACCACAGTTGGCTTTGGGGGCAGTCAGTGTCTCTGTTTCCCAGTGGCTCTGATGTGTCACATCCTTGGTAACATTATATGGAATCAGAAGGTTTTTTTTTTTCCTATTTGTGTTTATTCCATCTTTTTTTTTTTTTAATCTGAGCAGCAACAGGGGGCCTGATAGAGAAAGTAAAGGAATTAACACATTCACCCCTGTAAAGAACAAAAACATGTCCATTCTAGTCTCTTCCCCTGCGGGGTTGAGGGGGTGGCAGGATGGGACTGGTCATTATCTGGACCACCCTCATGGCAGCTGGGAAAGACAGAGCTGGTGGCTGGAGCTGTAAGGCAAGAGGCGAAGGGGAAGAACGAGGCCTGTTCATGGCAGTGGGAGGCAGTTTCAGAGGAGACTGAGGGAAGGCCCAGAGGGCAGAGGAGCCTATAGCCGTCCTCTCCCAGACACCAGTGGAAAAGCAAAATAAAATCAAGAACCCTAGACAAACTGTCTTTGCTGTCAAGGCCAAGTGTTTGACTAAAGATGAATATGGGGGGGAAATGGATGTTTTAGGGAGCCCTCGGAAACAATGACTTCAATGGAGAAGTGTCCTGCCCTCACTTTAGATAGCACCGCTGAGCGCCGCTATACCAAGAAACACCCAAAGGTTGGGGGCTCTAATTTCTCTTTGTGGCTAATTAGCTTCTTTTCTTGTTAGTCACTTATGTCTACAGTTTCCACAATATAGTTTGAATGGAGAAAAATCTGCATTCCTACTGAGTTAATTCTATAACAGCAAATATACTGTACCTCAGGTACATTTTTCTTAAATTCCCGGCGGAGTTCAATTAAATGTTTATGAGAATGTTCACTCTCCTCCTGCCGTGCAGACAGCTCGGAAGCGACGGAATTAAGCTCCTTCTGAAACAATAAAAAATAAAAAAAAAAAGAGAGAGAGAGAGAGAGAGAGAGAGAAAAGAAAAAGATTTTTTCCTCTCCTTTTCCTTTTTAATCATTGTACAAAACAGCATTCTGAACAAGTTTTCTTAACTTACAAAGCTGAGAAAAGACAGGATATTGACTCCTGGCACAAATGAATAATTTACAAAACGGGATGCAACTGAAAAAAATCCAGGACAGCTTTTTTTGCTCATCGGAAGATCAATAATCTCCCATAAAGTTGGGTGGAGTTTTTTTTTTTAATCTCTCCCCCACCCCCCTGCCCCACCTCTTAAATTTCCAAAGGAGTGATGGCATAAGCTTGTCAGTAACTGTAGAAAACATCTCCAAACCGTGTCAAAATAGTAAAGTGCGGCATATTGTATGGGCATATTATAGTGTAAGAAAGTGCTGTCGACAGCTTTCATATATCAGAGGTGGGAACTGTTCCAATTATGACTTACTTACACTTAAGGGTTCATAAATACGCCTTTTAAGATATAGATGGCTTTTTAATTTCAGTAGATTTTGGAAAAATGAAGGTGCCAATAAGAAGCAAGCTGACCTTTTGTGTATCCTGCAGTAAATCATTTAAGGTTCACGTCAAGTGTAAGAAATATTTCACTGAAGACTCCTGGATTCAGAAGAAATGGTTTGGAAGCTACCTTGCTTGCTTATGTGCAATGAAAGCGCCAGACCAGGTTTTTACAGGACATACCATTGAGGGGAAAAAAAAGAGAGTGAGGGATGGAAGGGGGGGGTCCCTCCAGCTTACACACATCACAGACAGGGTCTGCTGGTCGTACATGTATATTTGATCACCCCTCTCTCAGTTTCTTCGCTTTAATGGTGGCAGTCTCACAAGGGGAGTACAATTCACCATGAGTTGTCATGGGTTTCATTTGCATAATTCAAGAAATGCTCTGTTTATGTGGTCTGCTGCTTTCTTGCACCATCCTGAGATGGGCTTTTTTTTCTGGACCATAACTCGAGGAGCATTTCTGTATATATCACCCGATTATATCTGCAGCAATCAAGCCCCATAATTTCCTAAATCCGGTGATGCAATAAATTTCTGCAATCAGATTTATTAAAAACACACACGCAGATGCAAGAGTGTATTTCTAGGGTGAACTCTTTAATCTAACATATGTATGATGAGGCCCGGCACCGTGTTCAAAGACCCCATTTGTCATCGCTAATACGCATTCATCTTGCACACACAATGAAACACTTTTACCATTAGATAATGAAATAAAAGTACTATTAACCCGCTGCAAATCCTTTTCCCTGTAAGAGACGAAATGCATGGTAATTGTCTTATATCATGTCTGAGTCGGTAAATCTGCCCTATAGCAGTTCACCATAGCACCATAAACCTCATTCCCATCAGAGGCTGGAGAGCCTACTCCAAGCTCAGCATAAGTGTCTCTGCCTATGGTGCCTTAGGAAGAAACTGGCGAGGGAATTCCTATTTCTGGAGAAAGGTCTAACCTCTTTGGAGAACCGCAGGACTAGGAGAGAGAAGGTCAAGGCATAAAAGTAGCAATTAAAATAGAGGGGCAAGGGCATCAGAAATGTGGTGCTCTCCAAGGTGCTGACGTCAATTCTGTGCCACAGCACTAAATAAACCAACCTGAGGGTGCAGGTGTTTCCAGAACAAATGCTCCATGGAATTTTAAGCCAGGTGAAGAAGAAGGCATCATTAGAGAGGAGAGACAGAAACAGTTTTTGACAGTCCACCAAAGTGACAGAAGAAGAAAGGGAGACTTTTGATTTATCATCATTAAAAAATAATCATAGTTTCCAATAAAGAAACTACAATCGACCACAACCAAAGTACTGAGTGACTAGGGAGAGGTCTGCAGCAAAAGGACTGATCAAAGGTAGATAAAAATCAACCAGGTGGTGCAGCCAGCTGGACAGAACCTCACTTGGCAGGAGAGAAGGAACTGGAGTGTCAATGGTCAATGTGAGTTTTGATAAAATGCTCACAGTTTTCCTTAGTTTTTCTCATCTGTCTTGGAGACAAAGATGTGATTTTTACATTGCTGCAGAACAAGCAGAACTGGGACTTGGGTTGATGTCACTTGGTTTTGGATTATCATGTATCTGACATTATGTTCTAATCTCTGGGACACTGTCGCCCCCCACACCACAGCAACCAATATACCTGGCTGGTGTTGGACTTAGACTCCTCAGGTAAAACATCAAACCCAGGCCCTGAGAGGAAATTTCACAGCAGGATAAGTCCAATGACTTGATGTGTTGTAACAGACAATTATGCTCTGTGACTACACTGGGTCCCTTCACCAGAACCTCCCAGGCTGCTGGTGGGTATAAATCTGTCTGCTGCAGACACAGTGGAAGCAACACCAGGCCAGGGAATGTCAGCAGACCCCCAGCCCCAAGCCTACTGTAAGCCCAGCTCATGATATCTTTCCCATTGAGCCGTAGAAGAGCAAACAATGTCCATGTTCGTCTCAACTTCGCCTACTTCTAATGCTCATCCTTCAGCCCTGAATTCTTGCCACATTTCTATGGTCAGCTCACTAACAACAACATCATCAATAACAATAATAGTAAATAATAATAATAATTACCATTCCTTGGATGCTTAGACGTATCGGGCATCATGCTAAGCTCCTTACATACCTCATCTCATGTAACAAAAACATTAATGTGTCTGTTAGGTGATTCACGAAGGAACTAAGAAATAAATTACAGTCAATTCTAATAATTCAGGTGTGGATTATCCCCTTGGTGGATAGTAAAGGCAAAATTGTAATGCCCGGCTCTTCGTAGGACTTCTGCTTCACTTTCCCACTAGCTGGGGGATGTTCAGGGAGCTTGTTTTAAATGCTATAATTGTATAAACCATCAAGCACAATACCAAGTGTTCAGTAAATGTTGGCTGATATTATTCTGTTATTTAGATAAACTGAGAGCTCGGAAAACATCTCAGGTCTCATCATTAGATCAGTGATTCTAAGAGTTCTGGATTTCACAGGTCAATAAAAATATCACAAGAAAGAAAGAAAAAAGAAAGAAAGAAAGAAAGAAAAAGAAAGAAAAAAAGAAAAGAAAGAAAGAAAGAAAGAAAGAAAGAAAGAAAGAAAGAAAGAAAGAAGAAAGAAAGAAAGAAAGAAAGAAAAAGGAAGACCAACAGTATGGCCAAGTTTTACTGCATCAAAGAAAAATATTAAAAACTACTCCCTCTCACCCTAAAAGATAGGGTATTTGAACATTAACAATGCAAGAGGCCCAACAACAGAATCAACAAGAGCCTTTTAAAATAAAATACACTGGGGTGCCTGGGTGACTCAGTTGGTTGGGCGTCTGACTCTTGATCTCAGCTCAGGTCTTGATCTTAAGAGTTGTGAGTTCAGGCCCAGCGTTGGGTTCCATGCTGGGCATGGAGCTTACTTAAGAAAACAAAACAAAACAAAACAAAAAACCACTTAAAATAAAAAAGGTCCCAGCACTATCTTTATTTTGAAGGAATGGAAAAAAACTCTCATAAACATAAACCAGTACTGGTCTGAAGCTGAGTTTTAGAAGCAGAGTTTTAGAAATGAGTGTCTGAGCCACTACACACATACACAGCTAGCAGGGCCCTCCTTTGATGATCAAGCATAACTCGGTTCCTCTCCCACCCTGGCCCTCAGCCCCCAGTCCTAGGGGAGCCATGATTAACACAGCCCCAGACTTTGGACCAGGCCCAGGCCGGGAGGAGACTCATCTGATTAACCTGCCATCAGCAGCAGACAGACAGCCCGGAGCCCGGCGCAGACCATTCAAATAATGATCATCATAAACAGCCCATTTGCAACTAAAAAGAAATAATTTTAATGAGCTTGAAGCAGATGATGGATGCAGCTGAGGCTCGGGCCAATGCACAGAGAAAAAGGAAGCTGGGACTGAGCTGCACCCAGGACCAGGAGCAGCAGGAAGAAGCTGGGGTGGGATGGAAGGCTCTTCTGGGGATGATGGGATCTACAGCTCTGCTGCTTCCCCACCGTAAGTGCCCACTGCCCAGCGACTGCCCCTAGCTCTGAGAGGGTCTGCCATCAGTGTGCTGGGAAACCTTGAGACTTAGACCTCCAAAGCACTCAGAGTCTCAGAATGTATGAACCAGAAGGAAACTCTGGGGTTGTCCAGTCCATCATTGTCCAAACTTCAAACCCACACCCCCTGTGGCATGCATTTTGCCATATTGATATTCCACATGAATTACTATATAATATTTATCTTCAATTGACTATTCCTTTTTGATTGAGACATGTATAGCTTTAAGTTCAACTTTAAGACTGAATTTTTACACCCTTGCAACTATTGCCCAGATCAAGATATAGAATGTTCATGTTCCTAGCACCTTAGAAGGCTCCCTTGTGCCTCCTTGTGAGTACATCCTAAAGGTAGCCATTATTCTGACCCTAGCATCATAGATTAAGTTTGCCTATTCTTGACCTTCGTAATAAACCACCCCCCTTCTTTTTAACCTAAATAAGTACATTTGGAAAGGACACTGTTTTTGTTTGTTTGTTTGTTTGTTTTTATCTGTAGAGAGTCCTAGGTCATAAATGGGTGGCAGCCATTGAAATAAACTACAATGGAAACAAAGCATAAAAGGAGGTTAGTTATCAAATGCTAGAGAGATGTTAAAGGTAGTGTAGCACCAGACAGACTTTCTTCTTGTTAGAAGGAGAAGGAATGGAAGAGTACTGAGAAGGAATAAGTATTCCTCCTAACATGAGTTGATCCTTCTAAAGCCAGGTCTATTAACTGCTTACAATCATCTCATGTCCAGCTGTCAGTGTATGTCCCACACTTCAAAATTAACTGAATCTGATTCTGCCATTTTACAGATGAGGAAACTGAAAATACAGACAGCTCAGACTACCTGCTCAAGTCACACAGCTGTTTAAGAGGTTGGATTTCCTCAGGGAGAAGGGTGGATCTTAGGTGGGGAAGGAAAACTG